CCAGTCTTAAACTCTGCTCAGACACCCAGTACTTCACCTCTCCTCGCTCAACTGTCTCCTGCTATTCAGCCACCTTTCCCTAAAACAATGCACTTAACAGTTTCTGAGCTTGCTTCTAGCTGCTGCTTTCCCCATTCCTACTGCCTCAAGGACTTTAATGCATTCCAGATCTACCCAAGGATCACTTCAGGTGAACAGAAAATGACTCTACACTGTATAAGGATTTCAATCAATGTTCCTTTGTTGTTTTGAGTACAGTTTTATGATGATTACAAACAGAACTACAAATGCACCACACAGGACATTATTCTGATTGATATGTACAGGCCACAACCTAAGACCTATATACACCAGCTAAAATTCTACAAAGATTTCAATCCAATCTGAAGATGATATATGTTGGTATCGTTTTGTAGTCTTGAAAAAATAATAGCATATAAAGTGAATAGGCAACAGGAGCTCCAGAATTTCAGTACTGGAGTCCATCTAGGTACCAAAGTAATCACAGGGTATTTGTTCTAAGTCCTTGACAGATACAAAAAGTGTGGTTGTTCAAGTGTCTTATATGAAGTGGCATACTATTTGCATAGAACTTCTGCACATCCTCATGTAGACTCTAAATAATCTCTGCTTATATATAATACCTAATGGAATGCAAATGCTAGGTAAATAGTTTGATACTGCATTGTTTGAGGAATAAAGACCAAAAAAAGTCTTTGCATGTTCCATTCAGGCATAACCATCCTAGGCCTAACTACATAGCACACAATGAGAGGTGAGGCAGAGAGACTGAGGATCCATGAAATGGCAGGAGGCTACAGCAGGGTATTGCATGCATACTGCCTCATTCATGTAGATTCAGTATAGTGCACGGGATATGACAAACACAAGTTTTGCTTTTTGGAATTTTCTGGAACGTTTAAAAAATATTTTCAATCCACAACTGGTTGAGTCTGCAGATTTAGAATCCACAGATTATAGGGAAGCTATACCCATCCTTCCTCCATATATCCTTTGCTGTTTGTATTTACATTTTCTATCTCTATGAAGAGAATTGTTGAGGCTGTTAAAGATTAAGGGATTTGTTTGAAAGGTGTGTTTCTGAAGTAAGCACATTTTTATAAGTATTTATTTATTTTATTACCTATTTGAAGTACCTTGATTCACTTGGCTTCCCCAAGCCAAATGATACTATCAGTGAGAATGGTTCAGGGTATAAAAGATAAATTAGAGTGGCTGTGCAAGGTGCAACATGCCTGTAACCCTAGCGGCTCGGGAGGCTGAGGCAGGAGGATTGCAAATTCAAAGCCATCCTCAGCAAAAGCAAGGCCCTAAACGACTCAGTGAGACCCTGTCTCTAAATAAAATACAAAATAAGACTGGGGATGTGGCTCAGTGGTAGAGTGCCCATGAGTGCAATCCCTGGTACTAAAAAAAAATAAAGATAAATTAGAAGTTTCCATTTCTTGACTTTCATTGCTGGGTTACAGAAAGTTTGGTTTCACCATCCTTTCCAGACACCTACTAATTCTGGAAGAAAAGAAAACCCTTAGCTGGTGAGAAATCCCAATTAGAAAGATAAGGGAGTCAACAGAGGGAAGGAAGGAGTGGGGGGAAAGTGGGACAGGAGCCAGAAAGAAGGAAATCACTCCCACCCTGGAGTCAAGGCAAGGTTTGCAGTTTCCACTAAGAAACCAGAAAGCTCAAAACAGGAAGAAAGAGGCGAGGTGCAATCCAAAAAGCAATCAGCTCACTGACATTTTATTTATTTTTACCTGGGGGAAAGCTGTGTGGGGAGGGGGTTTCAACTCCCAAGCTGACCCAACAGCTGCAGCTGCTATAAAGGAAGTGAGTATTTGGGGGAAGGGAAGAGAGGCAGGATAGGAGGGGGAGCTAGCCTGTTTCTTGCCCTCAACAGAGGCCCACAGATTCTGAAGGAAGGAATCTGAGACTGTGTGAAGCTCAAGAGAGATTTCCAGGCCCGGCAGAAAAGGAAGCATCTCTCCAAGGATACATCTCTCCCGGTCTTCACCTGGAAACCTAGAGAAGACCTCCCTGCCCCCACTGCCATTCAGCTCCCCTATTGTCTTGACCATTTTAAGGGCAGATAAAGGGAATGCAGTTGCAAAGGGTTTGGAGGAAGAGAAGACAAAACCAGAAACTGTGCCAATAAAATATGCAAAACTAAAAATAAACAAGACTTTCCTGGGATTTTTTTTCTCCTGGTCTTATAACATTTAGTTTCATTTCTAGTCCAGGAAGGAAGGAAGGGAAGGAGAGGGAGAAAGAGAAAGTAAGGAAGCAAGAAAGGTGAGGGTCAGGGTACATGTGTTTTCAGTGGCATTCTATAAAACATACTCAGGGAGCTGGGAGTTTGAGCCCTGAAGTGGGGCTATTGCCACTGGTAACTGCCATAAGCAACCCCACCCTGAAAAGAGGGTGTAGAGGATTCAGAGTGGTCCTGAGCAAGTCTTTTCATTCTGTGCTAGTGTCAGTCTCTACCTCATTTAATGGTTAGTGAGACTTTCAAAAAAATAAAATGAAATGGGAGAAAGTACACTGAAAAGTGTAAAGTGTTAACAACAGTACTAACAGTTTCTGGAATCTTTCCTGAACTCTACCTGCATTTTCTCATTAATTCCCAGAAAACTTGATCTACTTAAATACTGTGATTGCCCCATTTTACATTTCTCTTTTTATTGATGCATTATAACACTGGGATTCATTGTTATATATTCACACATGCACACAATATAACACTATAATTTGGTCACTGTTATTCCCAGTACCTCCCATTTTCCTCCCCTCCTCCATCCCCTGCTCTACTCTATTACTGGTCCCCCTTTTATCTCTATAGCTTCCACATACCAAAAAAAAAAAAAAAAAAAGACCATATGATCTTTGACTTTCTGAGTTTGGCTTATTTCACTTAGTATAATGTATCTCCAATTCTGTCCATTTATCAAAAAATGACATAATTTATGATCGCCTAAAACTCCATTGTGTATATATACACATTTTCTTTATCCATTCATCCATTGATGGACATCTAGGCTGGTTTTGTAATTTGGTTATTGTAAATTGTGCTGATATAAACATGGATATGCATGCATTGCTACAGTAGGCTGACTTCAATTCTTTAAGATAAATACTCAGGAGAGGTATAGCTGGGTCATATGGTGGTTCCATGCCTAGTCTTTTGAAGAACCTCCATACTGATTTCCACAGTGTTTGTACTAGTTTACAGTCCCCTCAACAATGTAAAAGTATTCTTTTTCTCCACATCCTTTCCAACATTTATTGTTATTTGTATTCTCATTGACTAGCATTCTGACTGGAGTGAAATGAAATCTTAGTGTAGTTTTGATTTACATTTCCCTAATTGCTAATGATGTTGAACATTTTCTCCCCTATTTGTTGGCTATTTATATTTCTTCTTTTGAGAAGTGTCTGATTAGTTCATTTGCCCATTTATTAATGGGGTTATTTGGGTTTTTGGTGGTATGCATGCATGCACACACACACACACATACACACACACACATTCTTATATTTAGGGGATATTAATCCTCTTTCAGAAGAGTAGCTAGCAGAGATTTTCTGTCATTCTATAGGCTTTCTCTTCATTCTCTTGTTTCCTTTGCTGTGAAGAATTTTTTAATTCGATGACCTTCTATTCATTAATTCTTGGTATTATTTCCTGAGCTTTAGTGGTCCTATTGAGGAAGTCATTGCCAGGGCCTATTTGTTGGAGTGTTGACTCTATGTGTTATTCTAGCAGTTGCAAAGTTTCTGGTCTAATTCCTAGGTCTTTGATCCATCTTGAGTTGACTTTTATGCAGGTAAAAGATAGGGATCTATTCTCATTCTTTTAGATGTAGATATCCAGTTTTTCCCTGCACTACTTGTTAAAAAGGCCATCTTTTCTTCAAAGTATGTTTTTGAATTGCCCCATTTTATAGATGGGAAAACTGAATTATGGGGAAATTTGATTATAAGTTCAACATGCAGTAATTGAAGGGACTTGAACCCAGCTCTGACTGACTACAGAGCTTTTACCTCTTAGATTCTATAAGGTAAGATTGTTGATATTATTTTTATATTGTTAATTACATAGTTCCTACATTTTGTCTGGAGGAAGTGTTCATTTCAAACAGGGATTTCTTATCTGAGTTTGAGAGTTGTTGTCCAAGGTATAGATGCTTCTTGACTTACAAAGGGGCTAAGTCTTAATGATTCCATACTAAGTGGAAAATATCATTAAGTCAAAAATGTATTTACTATAGCCAACCCACTGAATATCCTACACAGTACACTGTAGAATAGTGGTCATCTACTCTTGTCATCTCATGGCTAACTGGAAGCTTTGTCTCATTGCTGCACCTAGAATCAATAATCTACTGCCTATTGCTAGTTTGGGGAATGATCAAAATTTTAAATTTGAAGTACAATTTCTAAGGAATGTGTATCATTTTTATTGCAACCCTAAGTCAAAAAATCATAAGTTGAATCATTGTAAGTCAGGGATCCTCTGTACTTTGATCTAAACAGGAATTGAGGGAGGGGGCATTTGATGCCATGGCCCAAATTCTAAACTTACACTGTGAACAAACACCTCCCCTGCCAGGCATTGTGGAGTCAGCAATGTCAGGTGAGAAGAAAGCCACTCTTTTCATATTCCCTGGAAAGGCCTTGACATTTCAAGAAAACCCTTCTTTTTAAAGTTAAGAAGAATGTCCTGGCTCAGTTAGTGTCCTAACCCTGCTCTCCTATTTCCAAGTCTCCTTTCTATGGATATCTACCAAAGAGATTCTAATACAGCATTCAAAAGAATTCTCTAAAGAAAGAAAAACTTAAGATGCATGAAGATCTTTCAACCTGTAAAAGATGTTGAAATATTGGAATGACTGAATAAAAAAAAAAAAAAAAGGGTAACTGAATCTAAAATATCTTGACCTGATCAAGAAAAACTTCTGGAGTGCTTATGTTGACCAGAAGCGTCCGGTAGCGCTGCGATGGTGCTCCTGGAGAGCGAGCAGTTCCTGACGGAGCTCACCAGGCTCTTCCAGAAGTGTCGGTTGTCGGGCAGCGTGTACATCACCTTGAAGAAGTATGATGGTCGAACTAAACCCACACCGAGGAAGGGTTCTGTGGAGGGCGTTGAGCCCTCAGACAACAAGTGTCTGTTGAGAGCAACGGATGGGAAAAAGAAGATCAGCACAGTGGTGAGCTCCAAAGAAGTGAATAAATTTCAGATGGCTTATTCAAACCTATTGAGAGCTAACATGGATGGGCTGAAGAAGAGAGACAAAAAGAGCAAGAGTAAGAAGAGCAAAGCAGCACAGTGAAGAGCACTGAGTTCCCTGCTTTTACCAAACCACTGAATTACATATTTCCATTTTGTTTATAGTTTTGTTCATAAATCTAGGTTTCTGGTTCCCCCATTAACTGTTTTCATGTGATATTAGGGTTATTTTGGAGAGAAGAAAGGTTGCAGTGTTTACAAAGTATTTGTGGTAAGAAAGTAGTTTATTTCAGATTTATGATGCATGGTTATAAATTCCTAAATTAGTTTTAAAAAGTCTCTGTAGTCATCCCTGTGAAGAGCATTGTATCATTAAACACCTGTTATCAGCACTGTGCTTATGTGATCCTTCCCCCCCCCCCCCCCCCCCCCCCTTTTTTTTTGGTGTTGCTGGGGATTGAATCCAGGGCCTCACACATGCTATGTAAGCACTCTTGATTACATCCCCTCATCCCCCCTCCCCCATTTTAATAGTCTGGCAATAACTAATTCTGGATGATGTGATTACTGAATGTTTTAGCCCTATTTTCTAGATTATTCTAATTGAAGCCTGACAATTATAAAAGTTGTATCATCTCATGGACATTCTTTCCACCAGGTTGTATAAGTTTATCATCATAATTTATTAAGTTTGGAAGAGTTCTCATAGCCAGATGAAAATCTGCTTAACCACGTTAGGAAAAACATATTACAAAACATTAAAAATAAAGATTCTAAGGTAATGAAAAAAGAAAAACTTCTGCTAAACTGCAGAGAAATATGTGATATTGCCTTTTATGTATCCTTCCATCACATCTACTCAGATGAAGATGATTCATTAGAGAGATCTCAGAGGTTTAGACTCCCTACACTAGTGGCCCAAGAAGCATCTAGCCCAAATGTGTCCTCTTGAAAATGATGAAATTTGCATGGGTGTTGTTGTCTTTAGTGCTGTAATCTTTCTTATGCCTTTTTAGTCAAATCTCCTGTCACTCAAGGTCACCATCACCCATGTGTTTCCAACAGTAGCCACAGAGCACATAATGGAAAGAGAACACAGACTGAGTATAATACAATGGACAGATCTCTGGAGCTAAGGATGAGATACCTGGGTTTCACTTCCAGCCTGCCCTTTCTGTAGCAGTATTATTGTAAGTAACTTGCCTATCAGAAAATGGGGTAAATTATACTTACATAGTCTACCTCAGATTTGAAGAGAAAGTATGAATATTAAATTCAATATTTACTTCCACAGGCCATACTTTGATTATGCCTTGCAATATCAAAAATGAGAAAAAAATGAACAAATATATTCCGAGAAATTGAAAGTAGTATTTTCAAAAATGTTTTTTAGTTCTAGATGGACAGAATATCTTTATTTTATTTATTTATTTTTATGTGGTGCTGAGGATGGAACCCAGTGATTCACATGTGCTAGGCAAGCACGCTGCCACTGAGGTACAGCCCCAGCCTCTCATATTTATTTTTGATGAAGGGACTACAATTCAGCTTCATCTGTACTGAACATGAGTGGGCCCCCTTCTCTCTCAAAATGTTGCATGTATGGGTGACTAATGAAAGAATATAATGTTCAGAAATAATCACTAGTGGAGAAGGTGACCAGCCAGGAAATTACCCTGAAAATAAAACTATGACTCTTTTCTGGCTATGGCTTAGCAAGTAAATATGAAAAGGGAGTGAGAGAAGTGGGGAAACAAGAAAAAGAGGAACAGAGAAGGGAGGAGACAGAGCCAAGGCAAAGGGGAGGTAGGTAGGATGAAGGACAAAGAATTGAAGAAATCTAGCTTCGAGACTTGGCCTTTAACACATCCAGCAGATGCTTGACTTTGGAAGAGATGTAAAAGGGATGTATAGATTTTTATTTTCCTCTGTGGAAAAAAAAAAAAAAAAACAAAGGGACTGGGGATATAGCTCAGTTGGCAAAGTGTTTACCTCGCATGCACAAGGCCCTGGGTTCAATCCCCAGCACCATAAAAAAATAAATAAATAATTGGCTCACATGAAGATAGCTTGTGATTCTTTAATCATCAATGTACCTTGCTTAGTACAGACAGCAAGGAATGTTTTTCCATTGTGAACTAACTATATTCACATTTTAAATTTTCCTCATTCCCTGAGCTTTGGATATCTCAAAAAGAATTAGAAACTTGAAGGCATGGGAGCAAAGAAGGAGAGAGGGTGAGTTGAATGGAAGAAACTTCCTGGTTTCCACAGCGGTTTACTGACAATAATGGCGTCAGAGCATGGTGGTCTTGAGCATGGGTGCTAAACTTCACCATAGTTGGCCTTGAATAGTGATTGTGTCACTTACCAGATAGGTAACCATTGAACTACTTCCTTCCTTTCTCCATGTCTCATGTTTTTCTCTGGTAATGTAAATATAATAACAGCCTCCATCTCTTAATGTCATTGTGAGGATTAAATGAATTAAAGTAAATGAAAGGTTGGGTCCAAGGGCCCAAAACATAGCAGTAGGCACCCAGTAAATGTTCACCATTACTGTAATACTTGGTACAAAGAAAGAGCTATCCCCTGAACCATTTTCTTTTGCAGAAATGTCATGTCTCATTCAGAATAATTTTCTGGGACCAGACTATTCTCTACCCTCCACACTTTTTCAAATGCATTCTCAAAATACTGAAAGATTTTTCTTTTATCAATCTTATTCTCGCCTTAGTGCCCTCTCCAGCTCTCTCACACTCTCTCACGCTCTCTGTCTCTCTCCAGACACCCCTCCTCCCCCACCATTACCAAAGAAGCCCCTGATGTTCTAATAGATAAAAAGATGTGGCAGTATACAGGTCCCGCTCCACTTGAAGCTGGGTAGGCTTGTCCAAAGCGGATGACAATGTTGCTTTTGTTTTTCAGATACTAGAATCTCACACAAATCTCTAAGTGGACATTCCAGCGCCTCTTCAGCCCACTCCTAGCTACTTCAGCCTAAGCTCTCAAGACGCCAACAGTGCCAACTTTAAGGCCTTTCTCACAATTCTGACACCTGCATCCTGCCTCCTATAGAACTCTTTCTCTCTTCTCAATGTATGTGATGTTGAGAAAACTGTAGGATGAATAGGGAAGGCATAATCATAATGTTAATGGGACTTTAGACATGCAAATGTATGTCCCCAGCATGGATGAGCTGAATAAAGTAGACATAAGGGGCAGGAATGGACAAGTGCCATCAGAGTCCCAGATGTGTGATGCTGGGAAGAGGGGACCTAGAAACGATGAAAGTAAACACAAGGGTTATTTAGAAAAACGAGACATTGAAAATTCAATGTAAGGTGTGTAATTGGAGGGGCAGCATGAGAAAGTACAAGACAGAAGTGTAAGTGCCTATAAGGAGCATAAATAGATAATTCGTGAAAGCTGGAGAGCAGGAGAGGAGGAGGCTGGGCGGGAAACTGCTGGGGACTGGGGGATGGGGGCTCATGGCACCATGTTCACAGAGCTCTTTGAGAAGAGACTACGACAGCTTTGTCTTGTCAGGCTGCCCAGTAAACTCAAAAAACGGTTTCAACCTGGGACCAAAGGGCCCCACCTTAGATCAAAAGGATCTTGCCTCCCACTGATAAGTTAAGCTATACTGTGAACCTGGGCCTTTCCCACCTATGTAGACTTTGAACCCTGAATTTTTCTAACTATAACAACATTTTCAAACAGCTAGCTGGATATCCTAACAAAGAGAACCAGAAGAGGCAGAGAGGGCATAAGAAGGGCCCTGGTCTTGCGCCTAGACCACATCAGTGTCTGCACACTAATAGATTTCTCTCTTCTTAACAATGTTTTTCAAACTATCCTGTCAGAGAATACTGTGTTCTATGAACAAAGTTAGAGGACTCAGCCACTACAAATGAAATGGGATGAAATGAACTAAGGTATTTCCTTAGAATTTCCAAGGAAAAGCAATTAGTTAATGGGTACAATGTGTTCTCATAAATTTTGCTGAAACCCTTGGTCCTTGCTCCTGTGTGCCTACACTAGAACATAAAAGGTAGGACCTGATTTAACATAGAATTATATTTGTAGATATCTTATTATTGAAATAGGAATAGTTTATGAGATCCCACAGAGAGCTATGCAATTTCCAGTGCTGTGTCACTGAAACAAGTTGAGAAGCTCTGGAATTAAGGATTGGGATCATTATCTTTATTCTGTGTAATGATTTTCTCATGACCTCTTTTGCTCCCTTCCCACTAATTCTCCACACAGCAGCAAGAATGATCACTCAACTGTGTCAGCCAGATCACATCATTTCCCAGCTTTAACCTTGCTAATGGCTTCCTATTGCCATTCTGCTGTTGACCATGACCCACAATCCCTGCATGAGCTGACCCCTGACCACCTCTCCAACTCCATTTTGTCCATTTTATCCCATTGTCCTCCTTGCTCACAATGTTCCAGCTACACTGGCTTCTCATTTTCTCAAATATGCCAAGCTGAGTCTATATCAGTGCACTTGTTCATCTTGCTGTTCCTTCAGCCAGCAAGATCCAGCCCAGCCTGCATCTTGGTTTTTGGCCCAGAAGACTCTAAACCAAGAATCTTCCTTAGGCACACTATTCCTAGACTGCTGTCCCATGAAAACTGTGTTGTTCTAATTCACTAATACATCATCCCTTCCCTTTTCACTATTATCTCCTTTTCATCTTTCAGATCTCAACTTAAACATCATCACGTCCAAGAGTTCTACTCTCACCTGATCTTGCTCAAAATAAGTATCCTATCCCCCAACCCCATTTTTCTCCTTCTCAATCCCCATTATTTGCTTACTTCACGGTTCTTTGTCATCATTTCAATTATTTTATTTATTTCACTTTTTAGCATTTGTTTGGCCTGCCTCTTCCCCCAAAATGCTGTGAGACAAAGGGCCACATCTGTCGTGTTCTCCACCTTAACCTCATTGCCAGCGTAGTGACTCACATCTAACAGACAGTTACTAGAGATGTGTCAAAATATAGGATGAGTGAAATACCAGGCCTGGTAGAGTAATATACATGCAGTACTACTGATTGGAATGCAAGCTGCATGAGAGCAGAGATTTTTTTCCCCACTGTTTATATCTATGGGACATAGAAGAGTGAATGGTATAGAGTAGGCACTCAATAAATATTTGTTAAATGAATTAACTAACTTTGTGCCAGGAACTATGTTCTGTACTTTTCCTGCTATATTTCACTGAATCCTCACAATACCAATGAAGAATGGTCACTATTGTTTTTTCCACATTATACATGCTTAGAGTGATTAAGCACATTTTTCAAATGCATTCAGCTACTAAGTTGTAGAGTGAGAACTCAAAGCCTAGCCTTTCCATAAGCCCATGCCTTCC